GACTACGCTCAGCTCCAAGGCACATCATTTGCATCATAACTTAAGTCAAGAAGGGTTATCTGCCAACCGAAGACCCTCGAGTTCGATTACACTCAGCTTCGAGGGCACATCATTTACAGCATAACTCAAGGCTAGAAGGGTTATCTGTGACCAAAAGACCTTCGAGTTCGACTACGCTCAACTCCAAGGCATATCATTTGTAGCATAACTTAAGTCGAGAAGGGTTATCTGCCAACCAAAGACCTTCAAGTTCAACTACGCTCAGCTCCAAGGCACATTATTTGCAGCATAACTTAAGTCGAGAAGGGCTATCTGCCAAAGACCCTCGAGTTTGATTACACTCAGCTTCGAGGGCACATCATTTACGACATAACTCAATCCTAGAAGGGTTATCTGTCAACAAAGACCTTCGAGTTCGACTCCACTTAGCTCAAAGGTACCATCATTTGCAGCATAGCTCAAGGCAAGAAGGGCTATCTGCCAAAGACAATTCGAGTTCGATTCCATTCAGCTCGAGGGTGTATCAACCGCGTTGCATCAGCAAGGAACTATTTTTCGGTCAAATTTTTACACTCAGGTCTCTAAATCGAGAAGAAGACCAAGGTCGACCAAGATTGGCAACAAAGAGTCACTTTCTGTTTCCCCACGATTTCACCTTCAAGAAGAAGGATATCGTGTCCAATGGATAAACTTAGTGTCACAACAAACACTATCAAGTCTCAAATCAAATAGAACCGGACAAAAACTGGTTGTCTTTCTCATCTTTGCTCTATTCTTGATAACATAAAAATGTGCAAAGAGGGGTAGCTGTAGACACTTATTTTTGTCCGGGTCTACAAAAACATTTTATTATATTATATATTTATTTATTATTATTATTATTATATTTTTATTTTATTATTTTTGTAGGCCCAACAACCTCGATTTAGTGAGATTCAGAAAATAAACCAATGTATTTGAGTCCTATTGAAATACTAAAACCAACGTATTTAAGTCCCATTGAAACACTAAAACCAAAGCATTTTGAGTCCAAGTAGGACTCTAAATCTGAGCTAAAAATAGATTTCTTTAGACTATAAATAGACTCATGCATCAAGAGAAAAGGACAGAGAGAAAAACGTTCAACCAAAATCAGAGGAAGGGGCAACGATTTGAAAAATGAGGGAAGAAATGGACAAAAAATAAGCGTGGATGATCCAAAGCCAGTATCTAAAAGCACGAGGAGTGGCAGAGCATTTTCATTGCAAATTCAGTTTCTCTACACGCAAAACATGGGAGATGTAACAACTTTTGACTTATTCTTTTTATTTCATTTTTATTTATTTATTTTATATATATATATATTTCATTTTCTCCTAATTTTAATATTTTTTATTTCTTTTTACATTGTTATATATATATATATATATTTATTTTATTAATATTATTATATTAATATTTTTTGTTATTCTTTTCTCATGTTTATTTTCATTTTTACAATCTAACATTTTTTACTTTTTACAGATACTTTCAATCGATTAAATGTAATTAATTCGAATTGAATTTTTGAATTTCAATTTTAATTTTAATTTTCGCAAATAAAGATAACACCGGAAAATTAATTGGTACCGAAAGGGCGGTTCAAGGGTGCTAATCCTTCCTTGACCGTAACCGACACCCGAACCCGACACGTTTCTGGTACAACGCAGATCAGGTAAGATGGTGTCTGACCCACCTAAATTCGTTTTAAATGGTCGGGGCGACTCCAATTCATTTAATCCAAGTCGAAGTCCAATTTCGGGCCAACCGAAAGACGATTCCGACATATACATTCTGTTTATGTTTTGATAAATTAGTTATAAGTAGATTTATATTTTGATTACTTAAATTTTTATTTGTGAATCAACTTTTTTATATTTTCTTTTCTAATTTCTTATAATTTGATACAAAATCAATTCTTCCTCTCCTTGATTTTCTTTTTGAACAACTTTTTTAATGTTTTATACTCCATTAATCCATAAAAAAAATGAGAAGAGCATATCTAAACTAACTTATTATTAAATTGAATCATCTATTTTTCAGAGCAATGATGATATTTTGTATTTTTTATCTGTAAGTAAAAATTAGGACTGTTATGGGATAAATCGGTCAAATTTATATTAAATTTATACATGAGATAACACACTTCATATTTGTGAAATCAATTTTTTAGTCCAATTATAAATGAATTTAATTTTATAAAAAGATCATCAAACAACAACTCTTATTCTAAATTAATCTATAAATTTCAAAATATTTTATTTATCAACCTCTAATTTATGATCCCATTATAAATTTATCCATAAAATAAATTTTTCTATATTTATCGTCAAATTACCAGTATATTTTTGGATGGACAAAATTAATAAAGGGATGAAAAATAATTCAATTAAATCGTGTATGGATAAACTGTGAAAAGGAGACGATGAATTATGATGTATTTTTACCATTACAACCTTTCATAAAATAACTTGTGAAAGAAAATGAGGACAGAAGTGAGATTTTACAGATTAAAAAGTCTGAGGTTGACAAATGGATCTCATTGATGGTGGATCCAGGGGACCAGGAGTTCACACTTCTGAAATCATAAGATTGTTCCTTGTGGACCATGCTTTCTGCTCACCAACTTTTGCTTTCTCTTCAGGCAGAAAGGCGAGCTTTTGTTCATTTCAAGGACTTGTATAGTTACGAGGCCAGGCCCTAGAACAATGTTCTTGAGAGGGTCAAGTTTGTTGGAGTACGTAGTTGCAGAAAAGATAAGAAAAGGGAAGTAAATGAACAACACGGAGAAGAAAAATCGTAACCAGCTCCGTTTCTGCACATGCAAAACTTGGCTGTATTAAGAAACAAGCTTAATATATATGGCGTTTGTTGTGAGACTGTGGACTGTAGGCGTTACAAACTAGGTAGGCCTTTAGTATTTAACAGCTTCGGTCTCACTTCTCCTTGCTCAACAAAAAATTGAAGGGAAAAAATGAGCAAATCCAACCGCTCAAAGCTTCACATTGCCATGTTTCCATGGGTTGCCTATGGTCACTTCATCCCCTTCCTTCATCTCTCAAATAAGCTTGCTCATAAAGGCCATAAAATATCATTCCTTTCGCCTAAAGGAGTTCAACCAGAGCTTGAAAACATGAACCAATTCCCCAACCTCATTCAATTCTTTCCTCTCGTCCTTCCTCAAGTCGATGGTCTCTCTCCAGGTGCTGAAACCACACATGTCGTTCCTTTGAACCAACAAAAGTATCTTGCTTTTGTTGTTGATCAAACAGGAGATAAAGTTGAATCCATCTTCAAGGTTCTAAAACCTGATATGGTTTTTTATGATACAGGGTTTTGGATCCCTGACTTGGTTCGCCAACTTGGGATCATCATGTAGTGACTTTCTCGATGACTGTGGGGATGGCGATAAAACCTAAGAAACTAACCAAGGAAACGACGTTAGAAGAGGCGATAGAATTGCCTCCCGTTTACCCTTCTTCCACGGTGAGGTTCAATGTTGAAGAGACACCTGCACTGTTGGTTCTGGCTGAGGATTTCGGGAGTGGATTGTCGTTACAAGAACGGATGAACAAGAGTATGATAGGAAGTGATGTCGTTGCCTTCAGGAGTTACCGTGAACTCGATGGACCATTTCTTGACTACGTTGCTCAAGAATCTGGGAAGCTTGTTTTGTTATCGGGGCCTCGCTTGCCTGAAACAAAGACCCAACAACTTGATGACAAATGGGTTACTTGGCTAAGCCAGTTCGAGCCTGGGTCTGTTGTGTTCTGCGCATTCGGAAGTCAGAGTGAGTTGCAGAAGGATGAGTTCCAGGAGTTAGTTCTGGGGTTCGAGTTATGTGGACTCCCATTTTTGGTAGCTTTAAAGCCACCCAAAGGATGCTCGACTGTTGAAGAAGCCCTACCTGAGGGGTTCAAAGATAGGGTTAAAGGGAGAGGGTTGGTTTATGGTGGCTGGGTTCCACAACAGCTATTGTTGCACCACCCTAACATTGGGTGTTTCGTGAACCACTCTGGGTATGGATCAATGTGGGAATTTCTGCTTAGTGACTGTCAGATCATGTTGATTCCTGAAATTTTTTATCATATTCTGAACACAAGGTTGATGGTGAATGAACTGAAGATTGGTGTTGAAGTTGAGAGAGGTAAAAACTGGCAGGTCTCAAAGGAGTCATTGAATGAAGCCATCGAGTTTGTGATGAACAAAGACAATGAAACAGCTAATTTGCTGAGGGCAAATCGTGTTAAGCTAAAACAAACATTTTCCAAAAGAGATCTTCAATAAGAATATATCAACAATTTCATTCAAGCTCTGAAAGATCTTGTCAAAAAACAGTCTTCAGTTGCAAAACAAGATGAATAGAATCCAATGTAGGATCCAATGAATAAGCTGGGTGTAGCAGTTTTAAGGTGTTATGTTCTTTAATGTAAAATAATGGTCATGTATGGAGGTGTTTCTGCATTTTCGGAACTTATTATAGATTCAATATAGATTTAGGATCCAAGCATATTACTACTTAATTTATAAACCTAAACTGGTAATATATATATATATATACGAATGAGTTAAAGATCACTTAATATACAAAATTTTTAATTTTATATAAATTTAGAACCAACATTCTATTTTCACTCATCTAATAGATATACACACCCTTTCATTCTATCTTCTCACATATATAATTTCTAGTTTTCAACCAAACAGCTTACCATCCCTTTCATTTCATGGCCGTCAAAGACCACCAGCCAAGTAAGTCGTTGTCGCTCCTCTCCTCTTCTCTCGGTCAAAGACCAGGCAGCCATGAATACATTTGTTTATGTTCGTTTATGTTCATTTACTATTTTAGCGAACAAACACAAACAAGAAACTTTGTTCGTATTTGGTTAAAAATAAACAAACATGTGCATTCTCTCGTTTGTATTCGTTCAATTCGTTTACACGTCAAGCTAATAGTTAGTATCATCGCATGAGAGACTGCATAATGGAAGTATGTACAATTGTTGATAATTACACAACCAACAAATAAATGATTCTGTTAGACATCCACAAGTTGATGTACAAAATACTCTACAAATATCGATTTACGGTAAACAGACCGTCAAACATTTTATGTAGTTTATTACTTTTTGTTGGATAATGTCGCCCCTATGCATTCTTGGACTATGTGGGCAATGCCTCTGATTTGCATATGGGGCAGACGTTCTTCACGAGCAGCCATTTTCTTAAGCAAACGGCATGATACTCGTGTCCACAATCTAGAGTGCCGGTTTTCTCTTGGTTCTTATAATCCTCCTGCAAAATTACAAAAAGGAAAATAACATATGTTAGGAGTGAATGGCAATGCCGTGATGAAAAAACTGTGCTAAAACTAGAACAAAGAAAAAATGTGCTCTTCAACAATGAATGGTGTGAGCTAAGCTGTAAGATCTCCTAATTACCTGGCAAATTGTACAAAATTCAGGTTCCTGGTCAACAGGTGCCACTTCTTCCAGGTTAATATTTGTTGCAAATGTCGAATACAATCTTGTTTTCAATTTACGTCTGATGGTTTCATCTGATAAACCGGCGTTAACATTGCCAATCCGCTCTCCCAGCGCGAGTAACTCCTGTGGTCATTCGGAAAGTTCGAGGAAAGGGTCAGTAAAATTAAAGCCATAACATGCAAGACAAGACAACATCTAATGGGCTTCGTCATACCTCATAAGACATTTCCTCTATATCCAGGCGCATATCTCTGTGATGATCTATAAGATTCCCAACTTCTTCGTAAAATTCTGGGAACTAGTTCAGAAAATAAAACAAACGGTAAATGAACAGAGATACATTGCAGAAATGAAAAACAGTACTTACATCAGGTGGAAGAACTCTCAAGTGAGGGAGATTACGGAGTCTCAGAGAAGTCTCAGGTAACACACCACTCCCCCTGGAAGGATGATATATCCTGAAGCCAGTAGGTGGTACTGGTCCGAAATGTCTACGCCCCACCTCCAAACCATCCTGTGAAGAATTCATGGTGCTCTGTGAGGTATAACTCACTGGAAAGTAATAAGGAACTGCTGCCTCTTGCGGGTGTACATTAATGCAGTGGCCCCTTACTCCTTCAATAGGCGGTGCAGGATGATGGAAGTTCGGATTCCGAAGGTCAAGGGGAGAATGTGAGAACCTTGTGGAACTTCTATGCCTAGTCTCCGTAGGTCCACCAACATTGCTACCTGTAGAAAAACAAGTTCAAGGTAATCAGTTTCAAGGTGAAAACATATTCCTACGGGACCTAATTTACATCAACACAGCTATACATAAAAAGAAATATATATTTAGATAGAGAAAGCATGTAAGGAACACCAGGAGCCTGAGCCCAAGTTGAGGTACCTCCATCTGTTATAGTTGGCTGAAAAGGCAGACCCAAGTAATTTCCCTGAAAATAATGATTGGCGTTTTGCATCAAAACAGGATCCACTGCAGTTGCCCCAAATCTGTTCCTCGCACTCCTTTGAGATCCACCTTCTCTAATTTGTATAGGGCCATTTCCCCTATAGTGAGACGTACTGAAGGGTGCAGCATCCACCGTTCCAACCCATCAGGATTCCTAGTATTTAATGGTGTAATTGAGGAACTAGAGCTTGATGAGGCATTAAAAAGCTGAAAATTTCCAGGGACACCTTCAGAATTCTTTCTCTTATACAAGCCTCTAACATTATCCATTAAGTGGCAATTCCTTGCATATTCATCTGCAGACACTCCAATGGGACCATAGTTGCTGGAAGAAGGCATCTGGTCTGTGATTCCATGATTTATAGGAATATTGGATGGAGGAGTTACCGCATAATGAACATAATAGTTGGATTGTAACATCCCAATTTATGGGTTAGTGACCAAATTGTAAAGTTTCAGAATTTGATGACTAAAGGTGAAGAATGAAATAGTTCAATGATTATTGGATATATATGATGAAGGTTATTTAGTAATTATTAAAGGAAATAAAGGGTAAAATGGTCATTTGACATTAAAGATATTTTATCCCTTTTATAAGAGATGAAAACGTGGAAGATGAAAACATTTTCATCTTCTTCTTCATTTCTTCTTTCTCCTCCCCGTGGAAGCTAAGCAAAGGTGAGTTTCTGATTTCTTGATTATTTGTTGAATTAAAGGTTGGGTTTTGATCATTAGAGGATAACTAAGCTTAAGGAAAGCTTAAGTTATCTTAAAATCAAAAGATAAAGGAGTTATGAAAGAGTAAAGAAAATGGGTTTTTAAGTGAATCTTTGGAAAAGAGATGATAAGTTGAATTGGGAACTAAATTTGACTTGTCATCAGCTAAATTAAGAAGTATTAAGTGTTAGAATTGGATTTGAAACATGTGGAAAATAGGGTATGATTCTTGAAGTTCCTTAAGAGGAGAGGATATTAAGGTTAAAGATGGGATAAATGATTATAAATGAGTTTAAACATGTATATGAAAGTTAGGATTATGAAAGGGAATGAAATATGAAGGCTTTAATCCAAAAAGAATGAATTTTCAGGTTCAAAAAGAGGTTCTGGGCAGAGTGCATCGATGCACATTCATTGTGCACCGATGCATCAATGATAAAAACCCAAAAATTGTTTGAAGGTGCATCGATGCATAAGGCATGCATCGATGCATCACAGTAATAAACAAACATCGAATGCATTTTATGCACCGATGCATCAGTAGTGCATCGATGCATACCTTCATTAAAAGATGAAATTGCCTTTTCTCTTAGTCTAAAGAGGAACCATTAGAGTATATTAGTTATAATACTAATATAGATCTATGTATGATGGTGTAGATATAGAACGTGATCCCGTTCCGGATCAATTGAAGGATTATAATCGAATCAAAGCAAAGCTAAGGTGAGTGCACATTCTCTAGTATATGAGGTTCAAGGGAAAATAAGACTTGTGATGAGTCTATTTCCAATAGTGAAAAACATGAATTCATAGAAGTATGTATTTGTTATGATTTATATGTGTGCATGAGTATATGTGTTATTGATATGAATATGGTAAGAAAAAGGGATTAATGGTAATGATAAGAATAATAATAAGGATAATGAAATGATAGGTATATGTGAATATAGGTATTGATATGTTTTGTATGTATTGTAAGATGATATGCTTATGTGATAACATGATAAGATGACAATGATTTACATGTCATGTGAACACATGAGAAATGTTATGAGCCATATGAAAGAGAAAGTATATGTGATACATGAGGGTGAATCCTATGTTTATATGAATATGAACTCATATGAGAATCGACATGAACTACGTGATTACACGTATATGTGAATGAAACCATGAGCTTATATGAATATATGATATGGTTACATGAATATGAAAAAGGATATAAAAGATAATGCCCATGTTATGTGTCATGAGAGCTAGGGGTATAGTTGGCATGCCAAGAGTCGAGGGTCTACGCGGTCCTTCGGGACATATGTATATTCTTTGGAACATGTGTGAAGTCTTGAAAGACACATACTTGATCTCTAGTATATGTATATGATTCTTAAGGAATAATATGTGGTCCTTATGGACATTATTATATGACACTACGGTGCAATTCTACGCGGTCCTTCGGGATATATATATATTCTGTGGAACATGTGTGAAGTCTTGAAAGACACATACTTGATCCCTAGTATATGTATATGATTCTTAAGGAATAATATGTGGTCCTTATGGACATTATTATATGGCACTACGGTGCAATTCTACGCGGCACTTCGGTGTAATTATACGAGCTGTGGTGACAGCATTAGTGCACAACCTCTATAGACTCACATATCGATAGTTCTCACATATGTACATGGGCTAATCCAGAGATATGAACAAATATATGTCAGTGGTATGATAAATGTTATAGAAATGATATGATGTTGTGTGTGTATAGTGTTTGATTGAAAAGGTTAACCATAAAAGTATGAGATTACATGATAAACTGTTAATGATGAATTATGTGTATGTATGTATTTACTGTAATTAATCTGATATGATTTTATATGATACGAAGAATGCATAGAATTGGTATAACATGATAGAACAGAACATGCATGTATTGATATATGTTATAAAGTGCATTATAAGTTGTTATGCCTCACTAAGTCTTCGACTTAGCGTGTGATTGTTTCACACGTAGGTTTCGAGAAGAGTAAAGAGTAATACGGAGCAAGACAAGTCAGTTCTCCTTACCAAATGTCAGATCAGAAAAATATATGTACTGTATGTAGAGTGTAGTTGGCATGTAGTCTAATGATATTAATTGTACCAACTCTGATATATTTTGTAAACGTTTTGAATAAGTTAAATGTTATAAAAGTTTTTAAATTACTCACTATTTTATACGAATAAATGTTTGAAAAGTCAATGTGACACCTCAAACTCGTATTCGGGTCGGATACGAGTTGAGGGTGTTACATTTAATGGTATCAGAGCTACGGTTTAGCCGATTCTAGGCTTAAATCGAAGTCATAAGTGTTTTGAAAAATATACATGGCAACTCAAAGTGAAAAATTCTGATTTGATAGTGTAAGGAGTATGCTGTCTTGCTAATAAAAAAAATAGATTATTATGTGATAATATAAGTATGATAATAAGAGCTTCGAAAGAAGTGAAAGGTAATAAACCTGAAGGTAATAGCATTCACCTGCCCTGGCCAGGCAGGGAGAAGAGCGAAAACCTCAGGAAATGCCTGTATAAAATTTGGAAAAATTATTCTTCATGTTGAAGAATGTTCTGATGTGTTTTCAATTTATACTTATTTAACTCATAGAATGAATGTGTCAAATTAGTTGATAAAGTTGAGAGCACCCAAGTTCAAGGGTGGATTTAAGGAAGGTTCTATTGTTATAGACCTTTGGTTGAATGATATGATAAAAGGTTTTCATTTCTTCAAAGTGGAGATGTTGAATTTAGTAGTTTTGGTTACTACTTTGGTAAGTTAGAGTATGGTGGACAATTGTCACAATAAGAACGTTAAAAGATTAAATGATGTGATCAGAATTGTATAAGAGTTCAAGAATAAGTGCATTGATGACCAGTTTATAAGACAGATGAAACTGGAATGCACGAGCTTGAAACAAGGGAATTACACCTTGTATAAGTATGATTATAAGTTTATTCAGCTGAGCAGAATTGCTGCTGAGTTAATTTCGACTGAAAAATGATACATGTAATTTGTTGTTAGGACTTGCGCCTTAAATTAAAAGAGTGTTACTGGTTTTGAATTTGTTATCGTTTCAAGAAATTGTTATTGTGTTAAAGCTTTAAAGAGAAAAAGCTCAGAACGAAAGGTTTGAAGAAATAAAATCTTAGATGATTAAGAGAATTAGTGCTTCATAGAATTTTAGCACCCTCATAGAAAGGTAGAGATTCTGGTTCAACTTTAAACCAGACATGAATTAGTTGTATTCTCCGTCAGAGAATCAAATCAGATGAGAGTTCGACAGACTCCAACAGTAGGTTTGATCTTGAAAGATTAAACAAAGAGTTAATTGAGGATAAATCAGGGTTAAAGACAACCCTTGTGAATTGGGTTAAAAGCTCTTTTAGAAGTTATGTAAATCGAAACATAGAAGTATTTTAAATGTATCAAGTGAGGTAAATATTGTTTTTGTATTTAAGATGGAAAGAGTTAGCGTGGGCTAACAAGATTATGGGACGGAATGTATTGAAATTACAAGATTTCAAGATATGGTAGGTTATGATATCCAAATATAAAGTGAATCTGGATACAGTTGTATACTATGATTATAGTAAAGTGATAAAGTGAAGGAAGTGAGAATTCAAATGTTTGAGTAAAACTAAGGATTGATAAGAAGAGTTTAAGTATGGGTACATTAATGATCAGTTTATAAATAAAGGAAGCTAGAATGTTAAGCTTGAATAATGGAAGTGACATGGTGTATGAGATTGATTGTTTATTTGATTAGTTGAGTAAACTATTGTTGAAATAATTTCGACTGCAAAGAATGTATATGAATGGTTCGATGAAGGTTTATGTTTTAGATTGGAAGAATCGATGTTGACTAACAGAGTTATAAGATAGTAGTGTATTAAAATTGAAGGATTTGAAGATGATTTTAGGGTAAGCTAATTATGTATGGTGTGGATTGAGATATGGTTATGTATTTTAATCATTGAAATGAAAGGTAATAAAGGAGACAAGGCATAATATTGTATATGAATGAGAGTATGGGTTCAATAAGTGAATTACACTGGGTTGATTTTAACTGAAATGATGTGTAAGATTAATTTAATCAGGGCTTACGCCCTAGATTGAAAAGTTGTTATTAATTAGCTATAGTGGCATGGATATTAGAATTATCAGATTTGAAGGAAACATAAAGTAAGTTAATCAAATGAAATACGAATCTGGATGTGGTTGTGTATTTTGATCATATAGATATGATATAGGCAAAGAGATAAATATTTATGTGTTTTAAAGAAAATTTTGAAGGAAGAAAATACAAACAAGATACGATAAGAATGAGGTTTTGTATAAGTGAAGTTGATTGGTAAAGTTGTAAAGATATAATAAAGACTGGTAATCAGAGATAAGTTTAAGTGATAGGAAAAGAGTATGTGAACATGAAAGAAAGATATGATTGGTGTATAAGAAGATTTTGAGTTATGAAGAAAATGAAAGGATGAAGTTTAAAGAATTAGATGTGATAAAGGTTATGTTGAGATATAGGTTATAAGTTTAACCAGAAGTAAGAAAGGTATGTCAGGTAATATGAGAAATTGTTTAATTATGCAAAGTGTATATTTAATAAGTTATGATGAAGATTTAAGGTGATGTTTCTTGGTCAAGTGGATGTAGTCAGAGAAATGA